CCCTTTTTTCTGGCGTCCAGTGTTCATATAAAGCTATGATGACCAGGTCTGGGATTATGGAAGGCCACTCTAAAAGTCTGTCCACGATAGTGGATTCAAGGAAGGCTTGTTAGAAAATGTGGGATTTGAGCAATAGTTTGTATAGTATTAGAAAAGAAGGTAGAGGTAAAGTCATGAGCTTGTGCTGACTCTTCTGCCTAGGATACGCTTCCTTCTTCTCTGCTTGGTGGCACCCCACTTACTTTTCCAAGGTGCTCTAGTCCCATTGTTACCTGCAAAGCTGCCTTTGAACCCAGATAAAATGAGTAGTTCATGTTCTGTATATTATGTTTATACCTTGTATCCTTTTTTACCTTGTATCATGGTTATGATCTGGTTGTGTCTGTCAGCTGTGACAAGTCTAGCTGGTCACAACATGGTTCTGAAAAAGCCTATGAGTTTTAGCTTCATTAAAGACCTTCCTCGGGCTTCCCTGGTGGCGCAGTGGTTGAGAGTCCGCCTGCCGATGCAGGGGACACGGGTTCATGCCCTGGTCCGGGAATATCCCACATGCCGCGGAGCGGCTAGGCGCGTGAGCCATGGCCGCTGAGCCTGTGCGTCCAGAGCCTGTGCTCCGCAACGGGAGAGACCACAACAGTGAGAGGCCCGCATACCGCAAAAAAAAAAAAAAAAAAAAAACCTTCCTCAAAAATTCTAGGTATACCAATTACTGGCTGGGAATTCAGCAAATTATTTTTAAAACTTTGAGTATCAGTTTCTTTATCTGTAAAATAGAGGTAGAAATATTTACTATGCAGCATTATTGTAATTTGTGTACAGTGTCTAGCAAATTGCCTGGCTCCTAGTAGGTGTTCTCTAAATGCTAGTTCCTCCTTTTATTTATCTTTTGTCTTCAGCACTCATTTCAGTGCAGACAAATAATAGGAATTCATGAATGTATGTTGAATTGAATATAAAATTGTAATATACCATCAAATGGGAACATTTAATTAGCTGTATTATCTATACATCTAGTAAAATACTGTTTGAACTCCAGTTAGATTTTTAAAAAGAAGCTAAGTAGCTCTTCCTGCTTACGTGGCCTAAAGGCACCATTTTCTTTTAATCTGTACTAAAATAAGAATCTCCTGGAAAGGTAAATCAGATTGGTTCCATAGAGCCATATAATTATTTTGTGTTAATTTATAGGAAAACTCCTTTTAATTACCTATCTTAAAAGTTTCTTACTCTAAATCCATATGTACTTATATAACTAAGTGGACATCCTGGTCATTTTAACACTGGGTTTTTAAGGAAAAGATCTGCATATCCATGTGTATCTCCAAAGTATTTATGTAGATCCTTGTAATTACTTTATAAATCCTCTTTGCATGCACTTCATCTGTAAGTCTTATTACAGTTATTCATTGTGGAGAATGTAGAGGTCCTTATACCATTCTCAAAAAATGAACATCCTGGGACTTCCCTGGTGGCGCAGTGGTTAAGAATCTGCCTGCCAATGCAGGGGACATGGGTCCGATCCCTGGTCCGGGAAGATTCCACATGCCACGGAGCAACTAAGCCCGTGCACCACAACTACTGAGCCTGCGCTCTAGAGCCTGCGAGCCACAACTGCTGAAGCCCGCGCTCCACAACTACTGAAGCCTGCGCGCCTAGAGCCTGTGCTCTGCACGCAACAAGAGAAGCCACTGCAATGAGAAGCCTGTGCACTGCAACAAAGAGTAGCCCCCGCTCGCCGCAACTAGAGAAAGCCCACCATGGCAACGAAGACCCAACACAGCCAAAAATAAATGAATAAAATATAAAATAAATTTATAAAAAAAAGAATGTCCCATAATTCCAGTACTCTGTCTTATATGGCCAAGTGCTCTTTTAGCTCTGTTTAGAGATCATTAAAAAATAATAGGCAAGAACTTCTGTTGAATTATAAAATAATATTTAGTAAATAATGACAAATGTTGATATTAATGTAGTATAAAATCTTCATGTCTAAGAAAAATAATATTAAACAACTAATATTAAAAATTTTGGTAGCTAAATAACGTTTCAGGAGATGGATCTATTGTATTGACAATTTGCATAATATTTGAATTGCAAAAAACTCTTCAATTTAATGAGTACAGTCCTTTTTCACTTAAGTGTCCTGTAAAAACCTAAAGGTTTTCCAACCAAATGAATTCTGTTTAGAATTTTGTTCAGAAAATACTTCCCAGAGCATAAAGTTTGAATTATATATCCTTGTAAAGGCTGATTTTTTTTTAAAGTTAACCCTTTAAAAATTAAATCTCAAAGACTTAAAGGCATTGTTATTCTACTTTAATTTTGCTGAGTGGAAATCTTTTAATCAAGAATATTACAAGTGGGCCTTTACATTTCTCATTGTCATTAACCTACTGAACGGTTCATGCCTGTTAAACTACATGTCAGGGCCTGCCTTATATGTCCATAAAAAAAGATATTCCGCGAGTAAGACCAAAATGTTACCTTAACATAAACTTTCATTACTGTAATATTTTAGTTTTAATTCTGTAACATTTCGTTTTTTGACATTCACTAGTGTTGTGTATGTTTCTCTAATAAATTTTCAAAGAGCTTATTGAGGCATAATTGACATATAATAAATAGCGCATATTTAAAGGATACAATTTTTAAAATACTGACATACATATACATCTGTGAAATCTCCACCCTGACAATATAATTAACATTTCCATCACACCCCAAATTTCCCCCTCCCCTTTTTCATCTCTCCCTGCCATCCCTGTCCCAATCCCTCCCTTTCCCAGGCAACTGATTTCTTCAGATTATTATAGATTAGTTGGCTTTTCCTACAGTTTTATATATATGGAATCACACAGTATGGTACTCTTTTCTTTTGAGGGGTAGGAGGGTTTTGCCTCTTTTACCCCATATAATTATTTTGGGATTCATCTATTTTTTTGTGTGTATGAATAGTTTACCTTTTTTATTGCTGAGTAGTATTTCATTGTACAGATATGCCACAGTTTATCCATTCATCTAATGATGGACATTTGGATTACTTCTAGTTTTTGGCTGTTACAGATAAAGCTACAATTTTAGCTATTATGATAAAGCTGCTATAAACATCAAGTGTATTTAAAAAATTATTTCATTTTTGATTTTTACCACTTACTGGCAATCATGGCTGTCAACTCTTATCGTATAGCAATGTTTTTATGCACCTTCCCCAGCAACTTTGTAATTTGGGAAGACTATGAAAATACCTAACTTTAAACCCATTTCCTGCATTTTACCCATTTTATTCATTCGAGGTATTGATTATAGGAAAAAAAGATCTCATTTTGAAGAGATCCTGGTTAGCATTATCTTACCTTTTATAATATCTGGCTAGCATTATCCCACCTTTTATAATATCACTAAATAAAAATTTCAAATGTAACTGAATTTAAAGCCTGCATTATCTTACCTTTTATAATATCACTAAATAAAAATTTTAAGTGTAACTGAATTTAAAGCCTGTAGTCCTTAATTAACCAAAGAGCTTATGCAAATACTTTCTTCACTATAATGTTATGATGAATATTTTTCTAAAGAGAATAAATGTTTCCTAATGACCATATTTTATTTCCATAAGTAAATATGGCAGTTGAAATCTTAGTTATCAAATTTTCTTTAAACAGGGAAATATAGAAAGGATCCCTTAATGCAATACTTAAAAAGAAAAATTGAGACACAAACTAACTTGTGATTTTTATAATTTGGAAAACTTTTTACTGTTCTCATTTTTATACTTTTTTATTTTTTAAATCTCATTACTTTATAGAGTTGACTTTTTAAAGGAATATTTTATTTATTTAGGCTGTGCCGCACGGCTTGTGAGATCTTAGTTCCCTGACCAGGGATTGAACCTGGGCCTTTGGCAGTGAGAGCGTAGAGTCCTAAACTGCTGAACTGCCAGGGAATTCCTTAAAAGGAATGTTTTATATGCAATAAAAATTCAACCTCCTGAAAAGAATATTCCAAGTCTCCATTATTAACAAAAAGTATGCAAAGCTTAACATTTGTTTCCCCTTTCCATTTATTTATTCTTAACAATATGTGTGTTTATGTGTGTGTATATGCGTATGAATATACATACACCATGGCACATATACATATATATAAAAAACACTATTATAAGGCAACAAAAACTACCTGTTTATGATATATAATTACATTAACTTTACAGTCTATTAAGAATGGAGTTTTAATTTTTAGGTAGTTTCTTTGAAAGTGGCCTTAATGTTATTTACTTTATATCAACTTGATATAAAGGCATGCACAGTTCTGCCTGTTGATGTGTTTTCTTGAATGGCAAACTGTGTTACACAGTATTCTGTACTGAGAACTTTTATTATAGATGAGAAAAGGAAACTATAATTTGTTTCCCAGTAGAATCTGTATGTTCAAATATTAAGTACTTTTAAATAGATCTTCTTTTTATGTTGAATTTTTGATTTAGGATCATTCGTGATATCTTCCAAATTCTTTTCTTGCTTTTTATTATAGTTTTTTTTTTATTGTTTTTTATTTTTTGTGGTACGCGGTCCTCTCACTGTTGTGGCCTCTCCCGTTGCGGAGCACAGGCTCCGGACGCACAGGCTCAGCGGCCATGGCTCACAGGCCCAGCCGCTCCGTGGCATGTGGGATCTTCCCGGACCAGGGCATGAACCCGTGTCCCCTGTATCGGCAGGCGGACTCTCAACCACTGCGCCACCAGCGAAGCCCTTTATTATACTTTAAAGCTAATTTGATTGAATGCCTTTTGATATTCTTTCTGTGATTGTTAATTTTTTTCTGTTATTAAGAATGTAATAAATTTTGTATAGTACCAGAATAGAGATCAATTTTGGTTATTTTTCTTCTCTTTTGCTTCTTTATCTTTTTCATCAGTAGAAAGCTTTATTTGCCAGGCTAAAATATAAGCTAACATTATGATTTAGGTGAAGTGAAAAGCTAATACTAATTTTTTCTTTCAGATCTCTATAAAAATGGACTCCAAAGAGCTAACTTTGTACCATTCATAGCTGTCCTGAAGGTAAGGAAAATTAGTTACTTATGTTCACTGACTAATATCATATTGATTGATAATCAAGGGCATTTATAGGATTGCTATGGTCTTGCATTCAAGCAGAATTTATTTCGTTATTTGATGGTAATAGTTAAAGACTCTAAAGGAGAAAAGAATCTTTTTTATATAGTATTCATCAATATGTACACAGGAAAAATTACAAAATATAGTCTAAATTATTGTCCAGCTGCAGCATTTGATAGTTTGCATTTTATAAATTTTAATTTGAGGTTTGCTTGTAAATTATAGTGGACCGTTTCAACTTATACATTGATTTCTGAAAAAATGTTTAATGTTCTTTGTTTCCTTCTGGTTAATGGCCATTAACATGTTTTCCCAGCTATTAAAGTTGCTATTTTGGAGTAGCATTATTACAAAAATATTGTAATATATTTAAAAATGTGATTGCCATAAAGTTATCATGAAATTATGTCAAGTTGAGGTACATAAATAGTTTGAATATTTGTGTGTATCATCACTGCATAGAGTTTGAAATAGGCTTCATTACAATATGATGAAGAATAAAGTAGCCTTCTTTTTCACTGTTAATTTTAGTAATTTTTTTACACGATTATTCAATAATTCTACATTCTACCAATATTTATTGGGAACCTACTATGGGCAAAGTGCTACATTAGGCATAATGGATAATATAATCATTAAGTAGGTTGTGTTTCTTGCTTGCAAGTCATTTATAATCTGGTTGGGCATATACTATGTCATAGATACCTATAACACAGAGCAAAATGTTTTTGGTAAAATAATTACCAAAAAGAAGCGTATATGCCAACATATAATTCCTGTAATTCTCAGGCACATTTTTCCCTGTCCATAACAACATATCTAAAGAAAGGATAGAATTGTATTTTTTTTAAAAAAAGAACTAAAACCTCAAAAATTCTTACCAAGAAGGAGGAGTAAAAACATTTTATATTCACATATTCTGAAGATGTAGTCAGACAATCTTTTTGAAATATACTTTAGTTGGAGCTATTGTTAGTGCCAAACTTTATTCCCTGTGCTATCCAAACATCTGTTTCCTTGACCAATTTTAGGTTCCCAGAAGATTTTAGTTTCTCTGAGATGGTTTCCGATGTAGGAAAAAGTACTTTTTGAAGATTTATGCTGTTAGTAATTTTTTCCCCTTTGTATTCATGTTTTACATTTGAGGAGAAGGTAGATTTGCAATGTTTTCTCCACGCCAGGAATACAAAGTAATGTGGTGTATGTAGATACCAAAATATAAACAGGGAAACTAAGAAAAATAGTTGCTAAAAATAGTTTCTTCATGTAGCATAAAATACACAAAATATAAAGAGATGGCTCACAAATGAAACAAGCTAAAAGATTCTCAGGGAACTTTGTAGCTGTACTTTTTTAACCCCAAACCTTATTTTTTGGTCAGTTATTTGTCATACTTTAACATATAATAGCATTACTAATAGACAACTAATTTGACCAGATTGAATTTAATTTCCTTTCCCTTTCCCACCCTTAATTTTTTTTTAAAGAGGAAGAAAAACCAAAGAGGTGAATAATCTGATTTGAGATCCAACAAGATCTGAGATAATACACAATTTTTTTTTTTTTTTTTTTTTGCGGTACGCGGGCTTCTCACTGTTGTGGCCTCTCCCGTTGCGGAGCACAGGCTCTGGACGCGCAGGCTCAGCGGCCATGGCTCATGGGCCCAGCCACTCCGCGGCATGTGGGATCTTCCCGGACTGGGGGCACGAACCTGTGTCCCCTGCATCGGCAGGCGGACTCTCAACCACTGCACCACCAGGGAAGCCTGATAACACACAATTTGAAATTAAATATGAACTAAAATTTCCAGGAAACTAAATACCAGATTGGATGAGAAAATATCTAAAATGTCTCATTTATTTAAAAGACTTTTCACATGTAACAAAACATCAGTCTGATGAAATGTACACTAGAGCTGGTTTCCTTGGAGCTTTTTTGGTGGGCGTATGAAGTTTCCCTTGTAAAGCAAAGTTGTTTCATATTCATTTTACCTCTTCACACATGCTAGCGTTACTCTTTTATTTTGGCCCAGCTGAGAGACATGTATAGTAGAAGTGGAAATACTAAATATCAAAACTTTGTTTTAAGATAGACTTAAAACAAATAGAGGATCTTAGTTTAATAAAAAGAGATTATAAACAAGATAGAAATTTATTTTGGGGAAATGTACAGTGTAAAATCCCTTTTCTCCCTTACGTTTTTCTCTGTAAACTGAGTGATAACAAGTTTGTAATTCACCACAAGAATTTGTGATTTGTTGCTTGGAGTATTGCAAAATGACCAAAAACTTATGTAAGCTATTAGTGAACAGTATTTTCATAAGATGGTGAGAATGATGAGGAGGACTAATATGTTATTAAAGGCCATAGGTCTGGGACTTCCCTGGTGGTCCAGTGGTTAAGAGTCTGCCTTCCAATGCAGGATACACAGGTTCAATCCCTGGTCGGGGAACTAAGATCCCACATGCTGCGGGGCAACTAAGCCCGCACGCTTTAGAGCCCAGGCGCCACAACTAGAGAGAAGCCTGCGTGCCACAATGAAGATCCCGCATGCTGCAACTAAGACCCGATGCAGCCAAATAAATAAATAAATATTAAAAATAATACAAGCCATAGGTCCATCAACAGATGAATAAACAAAATATATTCATGTAATGAAATATTGTTCTGCCATAAAAAGGAGTGAAATTCTGATGTGATACATTATGGATAAACCTTGAAAACATGTTAGGTGAGATAAGCCAGATACAAAAGGACAAATATTATATGATTCCACTTACATGAGGTACCTAGGAAAGGCAAATTGATAGAGACAGAAAGTAAAATAGAGGTTACCAGGGGCTGGGAGGAAAGGGGAATAGGGAGTTATTGTTTCGTGGGTGCAGAGTCTCTGTTTAGGATGATGAAAAGTTCTGGAAATGGATAATGGTGATGGTTGCATAACATTGTGAATGTACTTAATGCCATTGAATTATACACTTAAAAATGGTTAAAATGATAAATTTTATGTTATATGTATTTTACCACAATTTATAAAAAAAGAAAAGAAGCCATAGGACTAGAACGGATATAGGAAACGATCAGATACATCCTCTAGAAACTGCTTGTAAAAAGCAAAGGAAAACAAAACAAAACAGAAAACTCTTACATGTATTTTTTACTGCCTTTTAAGTAGGGAGTTTCCTGTTTTTTTCTTGTACTTTCTTTGAGTTTATTTTGCTGTTCTTTTTTAAAATTTACTGAGATTTTTATCTCACTTTAACCTTCTTTCTTAAATGCATTTAAGGCTATTTATTTCCCTCTGAATAGCTGCATCCATGAAGTTTTGATATTTAGTATTTCCACTCTCAAGTTCAAAGTGTTTTCTAATTTTCATTGTGATTTCTTCTTTAACCCATGAATTATCTAGAAGTCTATTTCTTAATTTCCAAAGATATGCGAATTTTCTAGTTATCCTTTTGTTACTGTTTTCTTAATAAATACTTAATTGCATTGTGGTCAGAGAATGTGCCCTTTGTGACTTCAGTTCTTTCAAATTTGTTGAAACTTGCTTTATGGCCAAATATGTGGATAATTTTTGTAAATATTCTCAGCATTCTTGAAAATAATGAGTACTCTCCAGTTATTGTGTGATACATGTAATACCCATTAAGTTATCAATAGGTTTGTTAATTATGCTGTTCAAATCTTTATTCTTATATATTTTTCACATCAGTTATTGAGAGGCTTATGGAAAACATCTCCCACTATGGCTGTGAATTTATCCATTTCTCTTATAATTCTGTCATTGACCTTACATATTTGGAGACTGTTGTAAGTTGCATACAGATTTAAAATGATTCAATATTGCCTCTGAATGGAACTTTTAAAAGTTATTTTTTATCATGAAGGAGTAATTCTCCTTGTTTCAAGCATAGTCATTATTTCCTGATGAAGCATTTTTATCACGTCTGCTTTCAAATCTTTTTTTTTTAAATAAATTTATTTATTTATTTATTTAGGCTGCATTGGGTCTTCGTTGCTGCGTACGGGCTTCCTCTAGTTGCGGTGAGCAGGGGCTACTCTTTTGTTGCGGTGCGTGGGCTTCTCATTGCAGTGGCTTCTCTTGTTGCGGAGAATGGGCTCTAGGCACACAGGCTTCAGTAGCTGTGGCACGTGGGCTCAGTAGTTGTGGCTCGCGGGCCCTAGAGCTCAGGCTCAGTAGTTGTGGCGCATGGGCTTAGTTGCTCCGTGGCACGTGGGATCTTCCCAGACCAGGGCTTGAACCTGTGTCCCCTGCATTGGCAGGCGGATTCTTAACCACTGCGCCACCCGGGAAACCCTGCTTTCAGTTGTTTATCAGATAATTCTAACATCTCTGTCATCTTGATGTTGGCATTTGATTGTCTTTTTATATTCTGTTTGAGGTCTTTGTGGTTTTTGGTATGAGTGATTTTCAACTGAAACTTGGACGATTTAATAATTTGTCATGAGACTTTGAATCTTATATTTGTTAATTGATATTTTATTGTGGTAAAATATGCATAACATAAGATTTACCACTTTAACCATTTTAAATGTACAGTTCAGTGGCATTAAGTACATTCACATTGTTGAGCAACCATCACCACCATGCATCTCTGGAACTTTTACATCTTCCCAAACTGAAACCCTGTACTCTTTAAATAATCACTCCCTATTCTTTCCCTCCCCCAGATCCTGGTAACCACCTTTCTACTTTCTGTCCCTGTGAATTTGTCATTTCTAGGTACCTTATATAAGTAGAATCATATAATATTTGTCCTTTTTTGTCTGGCCTATTTCATTTAGCATAATGACTTCAAGATTCATTCATCCATGCTGTAGCAAGAGTTAAAATTCCATTCCCTTGGGGCTTCCCTGGTGGTGCAGTGGTTGGGAGTCCGCCTGCCGATGCAGGGGACACGGGTTCGTGTCCTGGTCCGG